GGCCCCGCCGCCAGCCGGCAGCGCTGGCAAACTCGGCTGCGTTTGGGCGCGATAAGCGCTCGACCTTGCTCGGTCGGCGCGGAGCCAGCCGTCCGGCTTGGGCTCTCGCTCCTGCTTTCTCCGTGCCGCCCTCCAGGTCAACACGGAGAGGGTCGAGGTGGAAACCCACGGCGTACACCACACGGAGGGGGGCTGGCCCAAAGACGTCAACCCGCATGAGATGGAGCAAACCATTCGCTTCCGGAAGAAAGTGGAGAGCTCGACCTTGCTCGGTCGGCGCGGAGCCAGCCGTCCGGCTTGGGCTCTCGCTCCTGCTTTCTCCGTGCCGCCCTCCAGGTCAACACGGAGAGGGTCGAGGTGGAAACCCACGGCGTACACCACACGGAGGGGGGCTGGCCCAAAGACGTCAACCCGCATGAGATGGAGCAAACCATTCGCTTCCGGAAGAAAGTGGAGAAGGATGAAAACTACATCAACACCGTCACACACCTCGGCACCGTAAGGCTGTGTCCATCACCCCGCCGGCCCAGAGCACCCTTGCCCGCCTGCTGCCGGTTCCCTAGCCTAGGCGGCTCCCTGACGTCCCGGCGCGGGCTCTGACGGTGCTTTCCTGCAGCTGATGGAGCACTGCATCAAGCAGAACAACGCCATCAACATCTACGAGGAGTACTTTGGAGAGGAGGAGATGGCCGAGGTGGAGGGCGAGGCCCCCTCTGCAAAAACCATCAATGTCATCAGGTAACGCGAGCAGCTGGCCTGGCGTGCTGGTCTCTGCAGATCCACGGTGGGCTGCTGCGCTAGCTAAGTGCACGCCATTAAGGCATCTTTGGCGCCTTGCAGGAGCTGTGCTCAGTAACTCCATCAGCTCCTCGCCCCCCTGCCCTGCGCCCTGGCCAGGCACTTTGCTCTTTGGTGCCACAGTTTAGGAAGAGATTCAGCTCTGAGTATCTTCTCACAGCAGTTTAGACAAGATCTTTTGAGTGTGCATGTTCCTCAAAGATTATTTTCAAATGTCAGGGGCTGTTAGGTCATTTCTAAAAGTCAGATCTGGTAACGTAATGGGATTCTTAGAAGCATGTTACTGGAAAGACTTTATTAAATCACCAACTCTTCTTCCCCCCACCCAGCCCCCCAGAGAATCGTTTCCTGCAATCAATACTCAAGGGCTGTGGGTTGTTTTAATTGCGATTCCCACAGTTTCCTTTGGGAGACACTCAGCCCAGGGCATGACAGAGCTGTTAGCAAGCTAATGTCTTTGTTTGATGTTCTGCTGTGAAAAAGGGATCCAAACATAACCAAAAGGACAGCCACGCATCTCTCCTGGCACCCCGATGGATGCAAGAAACTGGCAGTAGCTTATTCCAGCCTGGAGTTCCAGCAAAACATGAAAGACATGAGCTTTGACTCGTACATCTGGGATCTTGGTAAGGGGAAGGGAAAATTCACCAGTCAGTAATGCTGCTGTTGCAAACGCGCTCTGTGCCTTCAAAGCATCTCACAGATGTAGCGAAGCCTCGCAACCCCCAGAGGGGGTGAACAGAGCTTTAGCTTCATCTTTGGCCCACAGATCAATGTAGAAATGGGATCTGAAAGCTGGCTGACAGATGGAAAACAACCACTAAATTCCCACTGCACAGCTTTATGAGCTAGAGTACCTGCAACCTGGTCAGGCAGCTGAGCCACGCTCCTCTTACGTGGTTCTTGTGTTTATGTGTTGTGATTCACTTGCCCTTGATTAACAAAGGAAGAGGCAACGAAGCCCGTGTTGAGAATTGCCCTATTTTACCAAAGAATATCTCAGGCCTTTTGCATTTTTGAGTGAAAAACACAAAGAAGAGGGTTTGGATACTGGGTCCTGTCCCTGGGCTGGCAGGCGAGGACAGGTCAACTCTCTTTCCTCAGTGAGGTGAGGCACCTGCGTGGCATGGCCAGCGCGCCGGCTGTGCCTCGTCTGGCGCAGCACGGCATGGCAGCGAGCCAGGCTGGGAGGGGTGGGTTGCGCTCACCGTGTGGTACCGAAAGGCTAGTTTGGAGGTGGGAGTTATTTTGCTTGGGGGTTGCCTTCACACTTTGCTCTTTACTTATCCCTTCTTGGTAGAAAACTCCAACAAGCCGGAGCTGGTTCTCAAGCCGTCATCCCCTCTCGTGAGCCTAGAATACAACCCCAAAGACTCGCACATCCTGGCAGGCGGATGCTACAATGGGCAGATCGGTAAGGAAGATAGATTAGGCATGAAGCCATATTAATGAGGGACTGTCTTCATTTAATTCGGCAAGAGCCTTATTCCAGCACTGCTACGCTCAGAAATGACATCATATCATTAGTGCTGCACCCGGGAATACCCTGAGCGTGGCTTGAAGCCCCGGGGCTTGGTGTGCCGAGGAAATGCATGTGCTCACCTGCACAGGTAACGGGAGGGGAGGGCACCGTGCCTGGGAGCCCAGGTGCGCGCTGCGCTCAGCAGGGACTTACCTGGGCAGCTCCCAAGGGGCTGCGTACGGGAGGAGGCTGCCGGGACTGGTGCACATTGTCCGGGGCTGTGGGCAGGCATACACACGTACACGGCGCAGGACTCCCATGTCCTCAGCTCCCCTTTTCCTTGGAAGCCCGTACTGCTGCCGAGCGCTCGGCAGGCAGCCGTGCAGTCGGGCCAGCCGGGGCCGCAGCAAGAGCGCATGCATGTTGTGTTCCTACAGCACCCATGGCCCCGTGTCTTGGTCACGGCAAAAGCTCAAAAGAGTTGCCGTCACTTCATTTACTGAGTTGTTTTTGTGCTGTTGTTACACATGCTTACAAAAGGGCCCCTCTCTGCCAGATTCATTTATGGTTTTGTTATTTAGTCAGCCACACAAGCCCTTTGATTTAATTGCACTCATTTTGATGTTTTCCTTGCCATTTACAGCAGCAATCAGATCTGACAGGGCATGCATTACAGGGCTGTTACTGCACGCTCCGGAGGTGATGGAGGAGAGTGGATTTCACCTCGTCCTTCACAGCGCTCCCCAGGCGTGTGGCACAGGCCCAGCAGAGCAGACTCCGTCACGTTCAATTGCCTAATTAGAAGTGAGCAAGAGGGAACGCGTGCGGCTCGGTGCCACCGCGGCCCAGCTGCCTAACCTTTGCTGCGCTGCGGCCTGCCCTCTGCCGTGTGTCAGATGCAAAGATAGGGAAATATGTTTACTGCGGTTCACACGGGACCTGCTTTCGTTAGGCAGGGCCCTTAGGGCATGCAGGAGGGGAGCGCAGCCAGGGTCAGGTTACACGCGCACTGGATTTTAGGAGCTGCTGTTTGGAGTTAACAGGGGCTGGGTACTTAGGCCACGTCTGATCCTGCTGGAACCCCTTGTGCAGAGCAGGGGCACACGGCAGGATTAATGGCCTCTGTAGGACATCTGCCACAGAGGGATCACCGCTGAAGAAATGCCATGGTTGTTTAAGATGTTTCCACCCTCTAGCCTGACATTGGCAGCAGGCATTGACCCGTCAGTGACCAGTTCTCTCCAGCATCCAGCTACACTAGTGCAAACTGTATTTCCCTTCAGACTGTGAGTGATCACAGCATCAGGATCCCAACCGGCAGGGAGCCTGCAGGTTATTCTGGGGCTGGGAAGCATACAGTGAACACTGCGGTGAGATTTGCGCCCTATTCTGGCTTCAACAGCGGGGCAGCATCTCCTCGGGAAATGCCAGGGAGTGGCAAGCGAAGGAGCAGAGCAAGGGAGCTGGTGCAGATATGACAGCTTCTTTTCCTTCCCAGCTTACTGGGACACAAGGAAAGGAAGGCTGCCCGTGGAGGTGTCCACCGTGGAGTTGAGCCACAGGGACCCCGTGTACGGAACGATCTGGCTGCAGTCCAAAACCGGCACCGAGTGTTTCTCAGCCTCCACCGACGGGCAGGTAAAGGGCAAGAGCAGGGAAGGGTGCCAGGCACCCTTCACACAGAGCCCACGGCTGGCAGGCGCTGACAGCTCAAAAGACCTTTTCCTGCCTGTTTGACCAACCCCTGGTCACTGGGGCTGCCGTGCCATGCCAGCATGGGAAGCTGTCCCCCGGGCAGATGATTTGGGCTGGCGCAGCAAAGCCCTGCCTGGCTCCGGGGCACCCAGCTTCCCCAGCGCCCACGGCCATACCAAGAGCCCCCAACTGCAGCGTCGCTCAGGCTGCTTGTCCCCCGCAGGTCCTGTGGTGGGACATCCGCAAGCTGTCTGAGCCTACCGAGACGCTGGTCTTGGACATCACCCGGAAGGGGCTCCTGGAGAATGCTCTGGGCGCCATCTCGCTGGAGTTTGAGCCGACCATGGTGAGCCTCCCCTGCCCTGGCCTGGCGTTGGGGTCACTCTACCCGCACACCCGTGATCTCAAGAGACAGAGGGAGCCTGGCAGGGTATCTGGTGTGCTGCGGGTGGCAGCGTCACACTGCTGCAGACACTTCATGCTCTCCTCCCCAGAGCCCCACTAACAACCTGGGGTTTGCTCCCTCCCTGGGAGAGCTGGAGTGGGATTAGGGGCTCGCTGGTTACTGTAAGTGGGGTGTCTGCAGGAGAGCAGGGGGCTTTCAGCCGGCCGGCCTCCCTGGGGCAGTGTTGAGAATGTGAATTGTCCAGCGTTGGGGTTCGGCTTTCCTTTTCCTCCAGTGACTGCTGCCCTCCAAAGTGGTTTCTGCTGAGAAAAGGTAGATCAGCTGCAAGCTCCAAGGGAGCTCTGCTCCACCAGCCTGGGCTCACTGCGCATCTTTATCTGCATGCGACAGCCACGGGGCCGATTGTTGGGGCACAGGGGTCAGCAGTGGCTGAGGACCCAGCTCAGAGCAGAGGAGGGAGGGTGCAAAGAGGCACCCGCTTATTGGCTGCACCTGGAGAGGCCTCTGCAAAGCAAATCCTAACTAGGGCAGGAGCGTGAGCCGAACCCAGCTGGGAGACAGTGCCAGGTCACCCCCACGGAGGGGGTTCTGCTGGCACAGCATGAATGTCTGATGCACAGAGTGATCCTGTGCTTAGGCGGGGAGGCCCCAGAGCACTGGGCTGCAAGTTGCAGCGTGCTCTCACCTGGCTTTATGCATAAGGAGTCTATCTGCTCCTAGAACATGAGGTCTTGCTGACATCATGGTCCCTAAAGCCCCTGGATCATGCCAGGTACCAGGGCTCTGTGGTCTCCAGACTCTTGGCCCAGCTAGCTCCCCGTGTGCTGACAGCAAAGCCCTTCACTGCCCAACTGTCCCCTGTACAGCAAGGTCCCCAGACCCCCTGACGGCTGCTCTCTGCTGCTCCCACCCTCAGCCCACCAAGTTCATGGTGGGTACAGAGCAGGGCATCATCATCTCCTGCAACCGCAAGGCCAAGACACCCCCCGAAAAAATTGCCGGAACCTACAGCGGCCATCATGGGCCTGTCTACGCGCTGGCCAGGAACCCTTTTTACCCAAAATTCTTCCTGACGGTCGGTGACTGGACTGCTCGGATCTGGTCAGAGGAGAGCAAAGAATCGTCAATCATGTGGACCAGGTAGGTGTGTGTATGTGTGTGTGTTTTTGAGCCTTTGCAAAAAATGTTCCTTTTCTGTGCAAAAGTACATTCAAGGCAGATAACCAGCAGGGTCTAATCTGCTCTGGTCAAGGAGGAGAAGCTGGTGGGACAGTTGCCAAGCTAGAGAGGTGGCAGCATAGCCAAGGGCACTGGACCAGGGATGTTCCCAGGCCCAGGATCTTGGCTAAAGGCACGTGCTGAAAGCTGTGTGCGTTTCAGCCGCAGTGGTGGGGCTGGAGTTGAGTCTATTCCCACTGCAGCCGGGCTCTGAGCAGGTCTGTTGGCAGGTACCACCTCTCCTACCTGACCGACGGGTGCTGGAGCACTGTGAGGCCAGCTGTCTTCTTCACGACCAAAATGGATGGAACGCTGGACATCTGGGACTTCCTCTTCAAGCAGAATGACCCCTCCCTCAGCCTGAAGGTCAGGTCCTGCACGGCCCCTTTCTCATTCGCTCCCGTTCCCTCACCGTGGGAGTGGAGCTGGGGCTGCCTCAGACCAGCACGCGCAGCAGGCGCTTGGCAGACCTGCCCCACTGCCTGGCAGAGCAGACAGAGCTGGGGATGGAGTCGGGAGCTCGGAGAGCGTGCACAGCCCCGTCCTGTTTGTGCTGAGCTCTGGATAAGCTCCATCGAGTGGTAGGTGTCCCTTCAACCTTGAGCTGTGCCTGGAGCACAATGTGCCCAAAAGTTTGCACTTTATGATCAAACAGGTTTTAAACATCCCTTGTAGCCCTTGTTACTGACAGTCGCATTGATGTGCCTCTGCCAGCTAGTGCTCCCTGGCCCAGCAGCCTGACTTCCCTCATGTGGGCATCACATAAGGGCTAAGTGATAGCATCTGCCTGTCCTCCCTCCCCAGATCTGCGACGAGCCCCTCTTCAGCCTGCGTCTGCAGGACAACGGGTGCTTCGTCGGCTGTGGCTCGAAGCTGGGCACCGTCACGCTGCTGGAAATCTCCTCTGAGCTCTGCACCCTGCAGAAGAATGAGAAGACCCTGGCCACGGCTGTAGGTGCCCTTAGGGCTGTGCGCTGCTGTGCCAGGCGGAGCAGCTGGACACCTCACACTGTAGCAAAGCCTTCAGCGTGGCCAGCATGCCATTGGCCCCGGCCAGCACTGCCCACGAGCAGGCCGTCCCGCTTGCGCAGGGGCAGAGCGGAGGGAGGGTGGGCAACGGGGTGGCCTCATGGCTCCTGGGGCCAGTGGCGTCATCCTCGTGCAGAGCAGGGTCCCCCGCTTGGCCCCGACGCCCCTCAGAGACCCCTTCTCTGCCCCAGATGTTTGAGCGGGAGACAAAGCGGGAGAAGATCCTGGAGGCCCGGCACCGGGAGATGCGGCTGAAGGAACGCGCCAAGTCAGAGGGCCGGGACGAGGAGAGGAAGGAGGAGAGGCTGGGGGGGGGGTCTCACCAGGGGGTCGGGCGGGGCGCAAGGAGTTCTTCGAGGTCATCGAAGCAGAGCTGCAGAAGAGGGCGCAGGCGGAGGCCAAGCGCTTGGGTGCCAAGGTACCAAGGACGGCAGGGACCGGCCAACCCACTGCAGGCTCCGAAATCCCCAGAGCGGACAGGCAGGCACTCAGGGAGCGTCACCCATGCTTGCCTGGTCTCTCTCTCTCCAGGCTGG